GTCGGGCTAATATGAACTCCGACAGCCGGAATTGGATAAGTGCACAAAAATGCAAAGTTCATACCGGTTGAGTGCAAAAAAAAAAATAATTTAGTGGGCAAAGTGTAAAAAAAAAGCGGATAGTTAAGTAGCCAAAGTGTAATTTTTCCTTTAATTTATTATCCATCAACTTATATAACTTTAACTAACTATCACTTTACATCATCTCCCTCATATTTTTACATCCAATCAATTTTAATTATTTATTTTAAATGTTATTTTAACATAAAATAAATCTCATTAACAACTAATTATACTATTTTTTAAAAAAAATTAACTCTGATTAACTAAATGACTCATTTTGAGCGAATATCTTTGTATACTGACATGCCCGTAGTGTTTGTGTATTTTATCTGTTTTTGGTTAGTTCAATGAGTTGTAAAATATCAACTTCTATTCAATTTAAAAGAACAATAAAAATTCAAACCATTTTAAGAGAGTTGAGACAAAGTGTGATATGTTATCAAGTTCATTATTTGCATGTTTATTTCATATTAGCTTTTTTCATACACTTATTTGCTTATTTGCTTCTAACATTAAAAAATATATATTAGTTGTATAGAAATTAGAAAGCCAAAAAATGTTGAACCATACAAAACATTACTTTTAGTGTATATAGGTAGTTTTGATGAACACATATTCATATTTCAACATTCAACTTTATATTCATTTATTTATTTGTTTAAATGTCAAATTATCTTACTAAATTATATTATATTATAATATAATATTTTAATACAAATATACAACAAGAGTTGTGATTGTTTATATTTTCTACCGTAAATATCTTACTCAAACTCAAATTTAATTCAACTTTAACTCAAATCCACTATCTTCAATATCATCAATATAATTAAATAATATCAACCAGTCATTATTACGCATCACATCAATTTTAACTCACTATTTATACACTCACATAATTTTAACTAATCATCACTTCTAATCAATTTCTTATACTTTTATATCAAATCAACTTTACTTATTTTAATTTAAATATTATTTTAATATATCCACTAATAACTAATATTTTTTTTTTCAAACTTAACTATAGTTTTTTTTACTAGTTGAACCAATCACCCCCTAAGATTTCTTTGAATATCAGAAACGGGATCCTTGCCTAAATCCTCCGCCGCCGTCCCCAAATCTTCCGGCCCTACACCCCTCCGCCGCTGCTCCTCCTCAGTCCACCCTAAATCGCCCCAATAAACCATCCCCCGAATCTTCCGCTCAGCAAAAAATCATCCCCTCATCTCTGCGTCTGCGTGTGTTCGGTCTTCGGTCCGGTCAAGAAACTTGTGGTCACCGGTCGTCAACTCGCCAGGCACACGGTTGCAGTTGTTCACCGTCAAGGGCGAAAGTCTCTCCGATTTTTTCTCTCCCTCCCAAAATCTCAGTTTTATTTTCAAGGTATGATATTTTTTTAATTAACTTCATTTCTTGTTTCTTGTTATGCTGGCTTGTGTGGAGAACTCTTTCCGGTTGCTTAATGCTCGAACTATACTTTCTGGCAATTTGGCTGGGGCCTGGGGGATGAAAAGTGAGGTGTTTAGGTTGTATTTTTTGTTGAACAATTGTGTTTGGGCCTGATGAAAAGCCATATATTTGGGTCCCATTAAACAATTTTTAAAAATTATTCTTTTGTAAAAATTCGGTTAACCTAACCAATAATTCGGTTCGGTTAATTTTCGGTTTTAAGCATACATTTCGGTCGTTCTGTTTTTGACTTATAGCATTTCGGTTAATTCGGTTTTCGCTGTTTCCCGAACCGACCTATGAACATCCCTACGAGACAACATTTTTGCCAAGAACTGATCACAAATGAAACCCTAACCCTTTTTACAACGTAAAATTCCAATTTTTAGGAACAGATACGAAGATGTCGGTTATGATCGTGACAAGCTTGGGTGACTTAGTGGTCGATTTGTTCACAGATAGATGCCCATTGACCTGCAAGAATTTTCTCAAGCTGTGCAAGTAGGTTTCTAAACTTTTAGTAGAAATCACATTGTCTGCAATCTGGCGATTTTTTTTGTTAACTTAGCGATAAATAATTTGAGTTTTTACGGATTATGATAATTGTAACAATTTACTATGTTCTCAGTTGGATTTATCTTGTGTTAGAGTTATATTGACTCTTTTGCACTTTTTAAGGTTTTGCATATCTGATATTGAAACTTGTGACTCTGGTACCGAGCTGTTTTTCTGTTGGCTTATTTTTTGAAACTGGATTTATAGTTAGCTTGAAGTTGCATTTT